CCCCCATCCTCCGGAGGGTTATTTAGTATTATGACTAGGGTTGCAGTTGGTGTAGGTGGTATCTTGGTTTACCCAGTTGAATGTCCGCGGGGAAGGGATATTTGTATCCTCCGCGGGCCGGGGGTGAGTCACAGTGGCCATTGGAATTCATCAGTTTTTGGGAAATATGCGGTGACTCCATTTGCTCGGGAATCGTTTTCTACTTGGTTTTATTTTTAAATGTTCAGCCTTTCGGCCACACCGAGGGTACCACTACAACGCTACAACGCCCCCAAGACCATCATGGAACCGCTAAAAACCCCGTCCCAAACTGTCGGGACAGAAGCACAACTCCCACTGGTCAACCGCCATTACCGCCGTGGCTGTGAGTGGGGCGCTGCCGCGGAAGCCAAACCGGCCTCTCTCTTTAGGCATGGTCCGGTGGCCTGGCGCCTGAAGGCACCCGCTGAGGCACACTCACCTCCCGGACGGGATGGTCCGCAACATCCGACTGCCATCGGGCCGTATCTTGAGAGTTATGATGCCATGCCCATCATCCCGTGAGCACTGCCTCCCCCCCCCCTCGGTCCCGAAAAGAGTTGAAAATGAAAAATGATGTGTATGTATTATCTATCCATACGCCAACCGTTCCTAACTCCATGTGTTGCATGAAACCACCCACCCGCTCAACAAAAAGAATACCTCCCCTTCCCAGCCGTGTCTACCATGATACCCACACCCCATCTACGATATCGTAGCTGGCTCGTCCAAATACCAAGCCAAATCCCCCTTCTCATCCCCCACCTCCCGCGTCGAGAACCCATTCCCCAAGTACCCAAACCTGTTCCCCCTCGCATTATCCCACTCATACTCCCAATCCTCCCCTCTAAACCGTTCCAGCATATGAAAGAAATGAATCCTGCTCCCCGGATGAAGCGCCACCACCGGTCCTTCCTCCCTTCCCATCTTGAACCATGATCTCCCCGGCGCCGCCCAAGTGGTGGCTGGCATGAAGTGGGTAATGTGCTCAAAGTAGTCATCTACTGCTGCTTGGGAAGGGGCGATGTATTTGATTCCTTCGGTTTGGACCTTTTTGATGATGGTGGTGATGTACTTGGCGATGTGTTCCGAGAGGGTGAAGACTGAGCCGTGACCAATGGGTGCGTTGGGGCCAAGGAACACTGCTTCTTGTTAGCACATCATGGATCACGTCTGAAGAATGAAGAGGGCAGGCTTACTGAAGTAATTTGGGAGGCTTGGAACAGCACAAGACATATACGCCTTCGGGATCTCTTGTCTCCATCGATCTTGCAGATTTGCGCCATCACGTCCAATGATGGGAAATCGCGGGCAAAAGGATGTTTCGAAGCCCGTGGCACAGATTATGGCGTCAACTTTGATGATCTCCCCTGAAGCAAGCTCGATGCCTTCCGGTACAAAGCGCTTCATGTCCGTTCTCCTGACTTCAACATTCGGTTTTGTCAGGGCTTGGAGATATCCATGGCCAGGCGTCATTCTTCGGCATCCTAGTGGAAAGTCTGGAATGAGAGCTTTGCAGAGCTGCTCGTTCCCACCGAGCATGGCTGTCATGTACTCCGCTACCTTCGCGCGGGCGAAGGCTTGAACTGGGCTTTTGGCAAGGACCTGCGGGTGTTAGCCATCTCCTTAATGGAAAATCGAAAGAGAGAACCCTACCACTGGGAAAGCACTGTTGACCTCAACCTCAATCCTCTTGACAAAATCCCGGTAGAACTCCGGGTCCGACTTGAACTTTTCAATGGTTTCTTCCGAGAAGTTTTCCTCGGCGTCGAGCTGTATCTTATCCCAGACCTCTGTTGCTTGACCCATGACTTTCCAGGCGTGTATCCTTGGTGGTATGACCCAACTGGGTGTCCGGAAGATGTGGTGAATTTTGGCGGCGCCGGGCTGGAGAGCTGGCAATACTTGAACTCCCGTTGAACCATTGCCAATGATCGCTATCGTCTTGCCTGTGTGGTCGAAATCCTTTGGCCAACGAGCTGTGTGTATCAATGTGCCTTTGAACGCGGTGAGGTCTTGAACATCAGGCCACTTCCAGTTGCTGATGGTTTGAATGTTAGCTGATGCCGTGCCAGCGAAGACGTGTAAACTGCTTACTTCAGTATGCCCGAACCATTCAGTAGAAAGGTAGCATAGTCCTCAAATTCCTGTCCATTCTCAAGGTTCCGTATCCTCAGCTCCCATTGACCGTCGCCTTCGTTCCAAACAGCAGAGACCACCTCATGAGAGGTCTTGATAGACCCTCTCAGCCCCTCCTCGTCGGCAACCTGGCAAAGATAGTCCTCAATTTCCTCGGCACTAGAAAAGAAGTTGGTCCAGTCCTTTTTTGGTCGCCACGAGAACTGGTAACTGTGGCTTGGTACATCGCATCGACATCCAGGGTATTGATTCTCGAACCATGTTCCACCGACGTCGATGTTCTTTTCGTATACCATGACTTCGTAGTTCGTGAGATTTAGCCGCAAGGTACGGATGACGTTTAGCCCGCTCGCTCCAGCTCCAATGCCGACAATACGAATCGGCCGTGCCGTGCCGAGAGGTTGTTCCCGGATAGTGTAGGAGACATTGAGGGAAGGGAAGTTGAGAGTGGCGCCATCACGACCAAGTCGATCCGGGTATCTGTCGCCGCAAGAGTCCATTACCATGGTGAAGAGTGTGTGGGAGAAGAGCCAGAGGTGTTCTGAGAAGCCAAGTAGAGACTCTCAGAGGATGCTTCGAGGCCTTGGTACTTATATCAGTAATCGAAGGCGAAAAGCAGGTAGTAAACGCAGCCAATGGCTTGCCAGGCTTCGTTGATGTATTTCAAGTGGTATGCAGCAATCGAGCAACACTCCGTACCCTGACCTTGATTTGCTCTTCCCGGTTGGGCAAGTGCCTCAGAATGAGGAATACGGTTCCCCTCTCCAAGACAAGGCAGGCGCTGTCAGCAAACAGAGTATTGTGGGTATCCCAAACTAGGATGGAAGAGAAGGAGCCTCCAAGTATATGACGATCCAGCCCCATGAGACAATCGACGGCCACGAGCTCAACCTAACCCCGAACAGAGGGGTATCTCCCGACGGGTGCGATCCATAGTTGGCTGATTTACGGTTCCCGTCCATTTACGCCGGCCGATAATTCCTTCAAGCAAGAAGAGACGAAAAGATATCGAAGAAGAAGGGCCCTGCATGTATCCCCGCTGTCGGCGCGGGGGCTGTTGGAAGCCTTCACTGAAGAGGATCTCGAGATCCAATGGGGTTATCGGCTTCAAGGCTGCCGCATATTGGGTTTGTTTGATCCGTCCCCCGAACCAGGAAAGTGATGGCCAGCCCGTTCCAACGAAGAGAAAGAGACCCGCGTGAATGTGAGAGACGCTTGGGATGGCCGGTCCTGTCGTATGCTGTCCAACCACAGCCGTTATCGACATATGCCGGTGAGCAGCGAATTGCATGCTCAGCCGAGGGCCAGTAAGAAGTGGGGAGCTTTTCCTAACGGCACCTTCCCGTCTGCGCTGTGCTTCCTGCTGAACGTGCCTCCTCGATGCTGACAGAGAGACAGCGGCGGGCTGCAAGTGCAAGTTGCAACGGTTAAAATGTGGCCCCAATTGCAAGCCTTCGGAGCATTTCAAGCGGAAAAACTCCGCTTTCTCTTCAGCTTGGTTGGAATTGAAATTGGGGGCTGAAAGCTGACAGCACACGGACCACATGCCTCAAACAACCACCGTTTGTGCCCCACTACCGTTTCAAATCCTACCCAACCCCTACCAACC